CCCATCTTCCTCATGGCAAAGGATATTCTGTCCCCTCTCTCACTGTCCTGGAATGGACTCCAGAGCCATTTCCCATTTCCCATAGCCAAAGACATCACTAAGTTCACCAATCCTTGACTCTGATTCCTGACATCAATCCATTGCTCCTTGTGTAACCAATCAGACAATGACTGAATAAAATGGTTTTTGGCTACCTACTCTCTCCTCAGGATGAGGCCCTGTCAGGGGAAAATTAAGAACCCAGAGAACCTACAATAAACAAAGCAGCCTGATATTGACATGCACTTGGCAAGAATCACAGAACACCTCACGTCCAGCCCAGCACCACAGGTGAGAGCCACATAGGAGTGACGAAGCCGGGGCCCTTGCCATCACAGAGGACCAGTCTTACAGATAGGGCAACTGTATTTCAGCTGGGCATGGTGGCTCACGCCCGTAATCCCAGCACTTTGGAAGGCTGAGGCAGGTGGATCACCTGAGGTTGGGAGTTCAGGACTAGCCTGACTAACATGGAGAAACCTCGTCTTTAAAAATATAATTGAAAAATTAAATTAAAAAAATAAAACTGTATTTCATCCAGTTGAAGACATCCATTTTCTACATTTTAAAACTCCTAAAATTAAGCTTTATCTTTCAGTGATGATGCCTTTGGTTGAGATACGGTAGCTACAGCACAAAGCAGCGTTGTGCCTGGAGAGGGCTGCAGAGCTTATAGCAATTAGAACAGTGGTCCAAGGTCAGGCTGCACATTGGATGTACCTGGGAAACTTTCAGAATACTTACGCTCACACCCCACTGCAGACCAACTGAATCAGCGTGGAAGGGTGTGGCTGTACACTAGTATTTCAAAAAGCACCTCATGGGATTCTAATATGTAGGCAGAGTTCAGAACCAGAATAGCAATTTCAAATGAGAGTACATATTACCCTGAGATTACATTAAGACTTTCCAAGAGCCGGGCGCGGTGGCTGAAGCCTGTAATCCCAGCACTTTGGGAGGCCGAGGCGGGTGGATCACGAGGTCGAGAGATCGAGACCATCCTAGTCCACATGGTGAAACCCCGTCTCTACTAAAAATACAAAAAAAATTAGCTGGGCATGGCGGCGCGTGCCTGTAATCCCAGCTACTCAGGAGGCTGAGGCAGGAGAATTGTCTGAACCCAGGAGGCGGAGGTTGCAGTCAGCCGAGATCGCGCCATTGTACAGCCTGGGTAACAAGAGCGAAACTCCGTCTCAAAAAAAAAAAAAAGACTTTCCAAGAGGCATGCCTTGGAAAGTTTAGGGCACAGATCAGTAAACTAGGGTGTATGGCCCAAGTCTGTCCTGTCTGTTTTTGTAGCCTCCAGGGAGCTAAGTTAGTTTTACAGTTTCAAATGATCCGGGGGAAAAAAATCAAAAGGGAAATAATATATTGGGATGAATGAAAATTATATGAAATTTAAGGCTGTGCACAGTGGCTCACGCCTGTAATCCCAGCACTTTGGGAGGCCGAGGTGGGCAGATCATGAAGTAAAGAGATCGAGACCATCGTGGCCTACATGGTGAAAACTTGTCTCTACTAAAAAATACAAAAAAAATTAGCTGGGCGTGGTCACACACGCCTGTAGTCCCAGCTGCTCCGAAGGCTGAGGCAGGAGAATTGCTTGAACCTGGGAGGTGGAGGCTGCAGTGAGCCAAGATCGTGCCACTGCACTGCAGCCTGGCACCTGGTGACAGAGGGAGACTCTCTCCAAAAAAAAAAAAAAAGAAAGAAAAGAAAGAAAGAAAGAAAGAAAGAAAGAAAGAAAGAAAGAAATTTAAATGTAAGCGTCGATAAATAAAGTTTTATTAGAACTCAGACGCACTTCTTTGTTCACATATTGTTGATGACTGCTACAAGGTGCGAGTTGAATCGCTTTGGCAAAGTCTGAAATATTTACTATCTGACACTTTCCAGAAAAAAACTTGCTCGCCCTGGCTTGAAGGGAATACATTTGAAGGGAATGGACCTTCAGGATCTCAACATCCCCATGACCTCTTCCAGACACTTGCCTGCTAGGAAAGGTACAAGCTGTTAAGGTGTCAGGTGTGGGTGGAGGCTCCAATAACTGCAATGATGGATGAGGTTCTCAGTGTCTTGCAGAGGACAGAGGCTTTTCTCATTCTCGGCGACTTGGTCCCCACCCAGGGCGGCTCACAGCATGGCTTCTCTAAGAGCTAGGATCTCAGCAGGAGGGGCTGGGCAAGACAGACATCAGGATCTTTTTGTAACTTAATCTTGTAAGTGGCATCCCATCATCTTTGTCTTCTGCTATTCACATTCTTTTTTTTTTTTTTTTGAGACGGAGTTTCGCTCTTGTTACCCAGGCTGGAGTGCAATGGCGCGATCTCGGCTCACCGCAACCTCCGCCTCCTGGGTTCAGGCAATTCTCCTGCCTCAGCCTCCTGAGTAGCTGGGATTACAGGCACGCGCCACCATGCCCAGCTACTTTTTTGTATTTTTAGTAGAGACGGGGTTTCACCATGTTGACCAGGATGGTCTCGATCTCTCGACCTCGTGATCCACCCGCCTCGGCCTCCCAAAGTGCTAGGATTACAGGCGTGAGCCACCGCGCCTGGCTTTTTTTTTTTTTTTAATCTGAAGTCTTGTGTCTTACTCACGGGGGAAAATAAATACAAAAGAAGTTTTGTTCTCATGGCTGCCCACTGCAAGCCTGGCATAAACAGCCCAGTCACTTCTGTTTGGAGAAATATTCTTTGCTCTTTTGGACATCAGGCTTGATGGTATCACTGCCGGGCTTCCAGCCAGGCGGGCACACTTCCCATGTTTGTCAGTGAAGGGAGCCTCTGGGTCCAGCCCATACTCCGGGAGGTGGATTCAGAAGTTCGTGACTCCCAGGAGGTAGGATCCTAGGAGCCATCTGAGAAGCTGCCTAGGACTACCACCAATTTTTACATAACAATTACATCCTCTACATCTAGACTTAGGATAGAGAATTTTAGAAGTGGTCTTAAAAATGTATGACAAGGGCCGGGCGAGGTGGCTCACGCCTGTAATCCCAGCACTTTGGGAGGCCGAGGCGGGTGGATCACGAGGTCAAGAGATCGAGACCATCCCGGTCAACATGGTGAAACCCCGTCTCTACTAAAAATACAAAAATGAGCTGGGCGTGGTGGCGCGTGCCTGTCATCCCAGCTACTCAGGAGGCTGAGGCAGGAGAATTGCCTGAACCCAGGAGGCGGAGGTTGCGGTGAGCCGAGATCGCGCCATTGCACTCCAGCCTGGGTAACAAGAGCGAAACTCCGTCTCAAAAAAAAAAAAAAAAGTATGACAGGATGCAGTTTTCCAAAATTGTTTTAGAAACAGACAAGCAAAGATATTTTGAAGGCCCCTGAGCTTCAGGCTTCATTCAGCTGGGTCGTGTCTGCGGGCGGGGCTCACAGAGATGTCGCTGGGGGTTAGCGGGTGCTTCGGGCAGCCAGAAAATGCACCGCCCCAGATGTGGGCCTCCTCTCGAGGCCAGTGGAAATTACAGGGAAACGCCACGGAGTGCAGACTCCGTGCGTGTCAAGGCCAGGCAGAAGCGCACCTGAGAGGTAAGGAGAGGCAGACGCCGGTGGGCTTGGGAGGAAGCGAGGAGAGGCGAGTGGGCAAGAGCCCGTGGATGAACTCGCGGGACGGGCTGGAGGCGGGAGCCTAGGATAGGGGAAGCGTGAGAGCAGAGAGGCCACAGGCGGCGCGCGCGCTAAGGAGGAGACTCGTGAGACTTGGATTTCGCTGCAGACAGCTTCCGCGGCCCTGGAGTCCGCCTCTGGGGAATAACCAATGTTACCTGCGGCTGGGACACAGAGTCGCACAGACCAGGTGGGTGCCCGCCCTCCAGGAACTGCGTGTCCCCGAGCCGAGCCAGGAGGCTGGAAGTGACTGCTGTCCCCTCCTCCCTGCAGCCCAGAGCTGTCCTCGTCCTGAGAAAGAGAAAAGAAAGCCAGGGAAAGCACAGCGAGCAGAACCAAGCAAAGGGGTGGGGACGATAAAATGGGACAGGGCCAGCAGTTCCAGCTACTCAGGAGGCAGAAGCAGGAGGATCAATTCAACCCAGGAGGCCTGGGCTGCAGTGAGCTGTGGTTGCATCACTGCACCCCCGCCTGGAAGACAGAGCGAGACCCTGTCTAAAATAAGAAAAGAAAATAAAAACGAAGGCCGGGTGCTGCGGCTCACGCCTGTAATCCCAGCACTTTCGGAGGACGAGGAGGCCAGATCACCTGAGGTCGGGAGTTCGAGACCAACACGGCGAAACCCTAGCTCTACTAAAAACACACAAATTAGCCGGGTGTGGTGGCACATGCCTGTAGCCCCAGCTGCTCGGGAGGCTGAGGCGGGAGAGAGAATAGCTTAAACCCGGGAGGCGGAGGCTGCAGGAAGCCGAGATCGCGCCACTGCACTCCAGCCTGAGCAACAAGAGTGAAACTCCGTCTCAAAATTAATAAATAACAAAAATAAGGGGCATGGAGTAAGAAAATGGACTTCCTGGAATCCCAAGTTGGGATTTGACGTCCAATGACCCAGGAAAGAAACAAGGAGTCTGAACAGGTCCAAGAATCAAGAGAACCGGGGCGGGTTAAAATCGGCTTTGTAGCCCCACAGCCAGGGCATGTGCGTGTGGGGGCGGGGGAGGCTTTGGCTGGAGTTGAAGCTATCCTGGCGCGGGCTCAACTGGGGGCGGGACGGGCCAGGCCGGGGAGCAGCGGGAGGAGAGCACCTGGGGCGCGCGGCTGGGGAGGGCCGCGGAGGGAGGAACCAGGGAGGCCCCGGCCCAGCCTGAGCCCCGCCCCGCCCCAGCCTAAGCCCCGCCCCGCCCCAGCCTGAGCCACGCCCCGCCCCAGCCTGAGCCCCGCCCCAGCCTGAGCCCCGCCCCGCCCCAGCCTAAGCCACGCCCCTCCCCAGCCTGAGCCCCGCCCCGCCCCACCCTAAGCCCCGCCCCGCCCCAGCCAAAGCTCCTCCCTCCCCTGGCCCGGCCCGCCCCCTGGCCCGGACTGGGAGCCGGAAGCGAGCTGAGTGGGGCCGACCGGAGCTTCGCCGCGGAAGGGAAAGCCCCGGAACGGTCGCTCGCTGGGCCCCCTGCCGGGCCGAGCCCTCCGCGACGCCACCGGGGCCATGGGGGCCGCACGCAGCCCGCCGCCCGCCGTCCCGGGGCCCCCCCTGGGGCTGCTCCTGCTGTTCCTGGGCGTGCCGGCCCCGGGTGGCGCCTCCCTGCGACTCCTGGACCACCCGGCGCTGGTCTGCTCGCAGCCGGTGAGACTCCGCGGGGGGCGCGGCCGCCGGGGCGCTGCGGGCGCGGGGCGGCGTCGCCGGAGGCGCGGAAGGCCGGGAATACCGCCGGGGCCGCGGAGGCAGGAAGTCCGCGCGGCGGCTCCGAGGGGCTCCGAGGCTCGGGCGCGAATGCCGCGGCGCCTGGGCAGGCCGTCGGAGCTGCGGTGGGGACGGGGGTGAGGGGGCGGCGGAGCGCGCGGCGCGAGTGGCACCACCGGCCTGCCGTCGGGACTGGGGGCGCCCGTGACACCCCGCCGGGCCGCGGAGTTCGGGGAAGGAGGCCGCGGCGCGGGGCCCGGCTGCAGGGGCGGGCAGGGCCGGCGCGAACGCGCTGTGGGGAAGGGCCCGGGAGGGGACAGGCCGGGTCTGGACCCGGCTCCACGCCGTGCGCCCTGCACGTCCCCCGGCGGGGCACGGCCGGCCCTCGGGAGGCCCATCGCGCCCTTGGGAGCTGCCCTCAAGCCCTGCCCTTCCTGCCGCCGACGGAGCCGGGAGAGCCCGTGGCGGCTGTAAGGCGGTGAGCGCCCTCAGCCGCGCCGCCCAGAGGGACCCCGCGTTCGCAGAGCCCCCACGGAACCACTTTTCGGGGAGACCTGTGCTGAGGCTGGCTGAGGGCCACCTGCCCAGAGGCGCGAAGCCCTGAGCATGAGCGGATGGTTCTTTTTTCTTTTTCTTTTCTTTCTCTTTTCTTTTTTTTTTTTTTTTTGAGATGGAGTTTCGCTCTTGTTACCCAGGCTGGAGTGCAATGGCACAATCTCGGCTCACCGCAACCTCCGCCTCCTGGGTTCAGGCAATTCTCCTGCCTCAGCCTCCTGAGTAGCTGGGATTACAGGCACGCACCACCATGTCCAGCTAATTTTTTATATTTTTCAGTAGAGACAGGGTTTCACCATGTTGACCAGGATGGTCTTGATTTCTTGACCTCGTGATCCACCCGCCTCGGCCTCCCAAAGTGCTGGGATTACAGGCTTGAGCCACCGCGCCCGGCGAGCGGATGGTTCTTAAGACGGCACCCGTTCCGCCTCCCCCACCCGCTATTACCACCACCTGAGTCTCGGAACCCGGAACCCGGTGAGCGCGCATTGGGAGGACAGCAAGTTTGTAGCTGTCAAGATGTAGCCCCGCAGCGCTCACAGGAAGTGACCCACCCGCCTGCCAGGTAGTGGCCTTTCTGTGAGCCAGAACCATCTTTAAAAAAAAAAAAAAGAAAGAGGCCGGGCGCGGTGGCTCAAGCCTGTAATCCCAGCACTTTGGGAGGCCGAGGCCGGTGGATCACGAGGTCAAGAGATCGAGACCATCCCGGTCAACATGGTGAAACCCCGTCTCTACTAAAAATACAAAAAATGAGCTGGGCATGGTGGCGCGTGCCTGTAATCCCAGCTACTCAGGAGGCTGAGGCAGGAGAATTGCCTGAACCCAGGAGGCGGAGGTTGCGGTGAGCCGAGATTGTGCCATTGCACTCCAGCCTGGGTAACAAGAGCGAAACTCCGTCTCAAAAAAAAAAAAAAAGAAAGAAAGAAAGAAAAAAAAAACAGCAAAACGCCGTGTCCCTCCATAGTATACTCTCTTCTCCCCCACACCCCCAAGCTCTCCTCTTTCCTCCCCTCCACCACCACCGCTGACCCCAGGGAATAATGCTCAGTATCTGAGTCAGAGGATGTGAAACAAAGGGATATTTCTCCTTATCTAATTTTGTGGAGGATTTACCAGAAGAGGGTGGAGGGTGAGTGACTATTTCGCAGGAAAGAAAGATGTTTTTAAGGTGAATAGTGTTGAGAAATGTCCTGTGACTTCCACTGATGGGCAAAGCAGGGAGAATTCTGCTCGGCTGGTCCCTCCTGCAGGCTGTGTAGGAAGCGTTCTGATATGAAGGGTTCATGCGCCTGGATTGACAGTCATTGGTCAGGTGCCTGCAGAGTACAGGGTGCCATAGTGGGAACTGGAATTATAAAGATGGGGACCCTAATGTCCAGAGACCTAACTAGGGACCCTAGAGACCTCCCTAAGGGAGGAACAAGGCTTGAAGTTAGGAACTGGATAGCAAGGCAGCCTGTACCAAGCTGCTTGCACAACTGTTAAGTGTACAGAATTCCAGGGAAAAGAAAAATGACTTCCAGCTGGGGTGTCCTTCATGGAAAAGTCATTTGGGCAGCCCTGTGGGTGTAACAGGAGCATTCCAGGTGGTAGAAAGGGCCTGAGCCACGGTCCTTAGGTGGGACAGGGTATGGTGTGTGGCCCGAATGGAGGGTCTGTGTAATAGGACCCTGAAAAAAGATGCCGGAAGTGGGGATGGAACTCCCCTGTGTGTGGCGTGGGAGCTGGGCTGTTTCACTACACAGTGAAGCAACTGCCAAGTCAGGAGCAGAAGCACAGCCTGGCTACAGGGAGGACTGGAGAGCGAGCTTACTGTTCGTATTTATCTGCAGTCTCGTTCTCCTTCCTCTCACACCGTTCTGCATACAACTGGCTCACAGACAGCTTATCTCCAGGGACAGACAGCTCTGGGCTCTGTTGACTAATTATTTTAAAAAGAAAGAAAACGGAATCCCAGCACTTTGGGAGGCCGAGGTGGGTAGATCACGAGGTCAAGAGATGGAGACCTTCCTGGCCAACACAGTGAAACCCTGTCTCTACTAAAATACAAAAATTAGCTGGGCATGGTGGCGCACGCCTCTAGTTCCAGCTACTCGGGAGGCTGAGTCAGGAGAATTGCCTGAACTCAGGAGGCAGAGATTCCAGTCAGCCAAGATCACACCACTACACTCCAGCCTGGCGCCTGGTGCTTGGCGACAAAGTGAGACTCTGTCGAAAGAAAGAGAGAAAGAGAGAGAAAGAAAAGAAAGAAAACACACCCCTCAAATTTCTCTCCGTCACTGGTGTTTTATTGGATGCAATGCAATATAGTGAGGGGAGGGAAGGCCGCAGAGGTGGTCCGCGGAGGACCTGGATTTGCGTGCGACATTGCACTTACTGTCTCTGCAGTCTTGAGCTTTGAGGCTGCCTGGGCCTGGGTTCCCTCATTTCCACAAAGGCAGGACTGGGTGAGCCTTCTCAAAGTAAGCCCATGCCACTTTCCATAATGTAAGTGTCTGTCCAAAGCCCAGTTAGACTTAGCCCTCCATGACTATCCTGAGACAGGAAGGAGGCTTCTGCACACCTGTTCTGTTCCTAGCTCAGTGCTGAAGCACAGGATGCAGGGGCTCGATCCGTATGTGTTGACTGAACAAAAGAATGCATGAATGAAGGAAAAAACGGTCAGCTATGCTTGGAAAGTAGTGGCCGGCTGAGACCCACCTTAGCACTGGTGCCAGCTGCCTGGGGTTAGCACCTCAAAACCCAGAAGACTGATTTCCCCACAGAAATCAATACAGGAGAAACCATCAATAATTGCAATTGCCTGTGCATTTCCTTGTGGTTAGCCCTGCCCCCTGCCTAGGCTTCATGCAGGTTTCCCATAACCGCCAGCCTGGAGGAACGCCCATAGGAAAGACAGCAGCAACGTTAAGAGTTGGCCAGGGTGAATGTTAACACATAAGTTCACAGACAGGATGTGTGTTTCATTACAGTCTTTTTTCCTGAGTGTTCGCGGTTTTGACTGTGGTTGTAGAACAAGTGCTCAGTTAAACCCCTTTATCTTCTGCTTGCCGGAAGCGACTTTCATCATGACAGTCTTCCAAAGTCCACAAAGTTGTGTTCTTTGTGCCAGGCACTGTGCCGGTGGTTCACAAGTATCCCTTCATCCCGTGCTCACAACAGCTCACAAGGTTGGCAGGATGAACCTGCTTTTGAGAGGCTGGGTCGTTGGCCCAATGTGGCAGAGCTAGTGAGTGCTAAGCTGAGAATGAGAGCAGGCTCTGCTTGGAAGTTCAAAGCCCACTTTCTTAGGCACTCAGTAGTGTTCACTGAATGCACTGAATTGAATAATCTTTCATTTCTTCTTAATCTTCACCTTCTGGGTAGAGAATAGTGACCTATTGGAGGTGTCTCTTATTGATTGATTGATTGAGACAGAGCTTCATTCTGTCACCCAGGCTGGAGTGCCATGGCATGATCTTGACTCACTGCAACCTCCACCTCCCAAGTTCAAACAATTCTTGTGCCTCAGCCACCAGAGTCACTGGGACTACAGGTACCCGCCACTATACCCAGCTAATTTATGGGCTTTTTTCTTTTTTTTTTTTTTTTTTGAGATGGAGAGTCACTGTTGCCCAGGCTGGAGTGCAGTGGCATGATCTCGGCTCACTGCAACCTCCCAGGTTCACGTGCTTCTCCTGCCTCAGCCTCCTAAGGAGCTGGGACTACAGGCGTGCACCATGACACCGAGCTGATTTTTGTTATTTTTAGTAGAGATGGGATTTCACCATGTTGGCCAGGCTGATCTGGAACTCTTGACCTCAGGTGATACGCCCGCCTCAGCCTCCCAAAGTGCTGGGATTACAGGTGTGAGCCAAGACACCCAGCCAATTTATTTATTTTATTCATTTGTTGTTTTTTTTTTTTTTTTTTGAGACAGTCTCACTCTTTTGCCCAAGTTGGAGTGCAGTGGCGTGACCTTAGCTCACTGCAACCTCCACTTTCCAGGCTCAAGGAATTCTCCTGCCTCAGCCTCCCAAGTAGCTGGGATTACAGGCATGTACCACCATGCCCAGCTACTTTTTGTATTTTTAGTAGAGACAGGGTTTCACCATGTTGGCCAGGCTGATTGCGAATTCCTGACCTCAAATGATCCACCCACCTCAACCTTCCAAAGTGCTGGCATTACAAGCATGAGCCGCCACACCAGGCCAATTTTTTTATTTTTCATTTTTGCAGAAACAGGGTTTCACCATGTTGGCCAGGCTGGTCTTGAACTCCTGATCTGCCCACCTCGGCCTTCCAAAGTCCTGGAATTACAGGCATGAACCACTGCACCCTTGCCTTTTTTTTTTTTTTTAACTTAATGAGACAAGACAGCAGTGATTAAGATCTTATATTCTGGAGCA